TAGAAGTATAGCCTCCCGTATATATATTTGCTCTTATTTCTTAGAAAAAAAGCCGTCTTCTTAATTCCCGATTTAGTTAATAAAGTTATTTATACTGAACTCCTAGACTTATTATAGGATCCTATAGGCAAACTTATAACTATAGTAACTAGTCAGATATCTTATGGACTATATGGCCTCAAAGATAATCCGAAAGCCCTATATATAGTTTATAAGATACCTATAGCCCTATTTGCATACCAGAAAAGGTTTCCTAAGGCATTTATAACTATAATAATTATCTATAAGAATAGGTATCCCAAGTACTAATACCGGAATAATAGCCATATATTTATAATCTATAAACTAGGCTTTCTAGGCCAGGAAGTCATCCGTAATAACCGCTAGGTTATTTCATATAACCCGTATCTTCTCTAGAAGTTCCGCTCTTATATTAATATTAAGATTTGCGCTTTTATATAAGTAATTAAGTATATCTATAAGTATATCTATAAAGAAATAGATTATATAACTATTATAGTCTCAGGAATAGATAATAAGATTACCTAGTATTTCTAGGCTCGGTATATAGGCCCTATAGAGGCTTTCTGGTACCTATTTAAGTACCTAATATACTAAGAGTTCTCCCCGGTTTAATACCTTATAATTCACTTCCCTAGATAATATATGGTCTGCTTTATAGCTAACCTTTTACCCGAGCAGATTACGGACCGGGCCGCAAATACCCGCTCGACCTTAATAGCCTTCTTTAAATATAATATAATATATAAGAACGGATACTAATACCTATATTACGAGTTCCTATAATACTTTATATAGGTTACTAAGATCCGGATATAGAAGTACTATAAGTAAGAATATAGTATTAGTTATATTTACTACTATAGTTTAGTTTCGGGCAAGTAATTCTACTTATAGCTCTTACTAATAGTTATATATAGTCCGCAGTCCTTTAACGAGCTCTACTTAGTTAAGGGTATCTATTATCCTATATATTATACTACCTATATTACCTGCAGCTTAGTAAAAAATAATTAGGAATAGTTCTAGTACTTTAATAAGGCTATTTTATTAATAACTAGCTATAGTTTACGGATGCTCTTTCTTATAGGTATTTACTAGTAACTAATTACGGATATATAAGTAATCTAGGACTAGTATAAGGAGTATTTCTATAATAACTTGGCCTATAAGCTCGCCCGTAACCCATTAATTAACTTTCTATTATCCTTAGTTAATTCTTACTATAATTATAGCCTTTTCTTACTTGATCTTGGCCTTACGGATCTCTAGCAAATACTTACGGATATTACCTTACCTAAAAATACCTTTAACTAGACCATAAGCTACTATATAACTAATCTATAGGTTAATTACGCCCGTAAGATATTACTAGTAACCGTAATATAAGCCTAGCTAAATATAGACTAGTACTCTTGCTTTCAGATAATTATAATAGTAATTACGGATGATTTACAGACAGCTCACTTCTACTTATAGGGCCCGGGCAAGACTAGTAAGACATTTCTCTATAAAACCCTCTATTACTATTACTATAGCCAAGGTAAGGTAGTCCTATATATGGTATTAACAGGTATTATAGCTCTCTTTTTCCCGGACAAATATACGTCTTACTCCTAATTCCGGATTCCACTCGAGCTTAATAAGTCATCCGTAAGTACGATTACTAAGACAAGCTAGCTCGGGGCACTCTTGTAATTTACGGATCTAATTATCTGGGACAAGGTGTCTATATAATACAAGTATTACTTTAAGGTAGTATACCGGCTAATAGTCAATTTACGGTCGGTTACGGATAATATTCTCTTTAGAGAGGTACCCGTAATTCTCGGGAGAGACTTTGCCCAGATCTTACTAGTAGTCCTATACGGTTTGCAGGCTAATATAGTACAGGCCTGCCTATAGCGGACATAGATCTGGCTATAACTCCGTTAGTTATTATTACGGATTAATATACGGGTCCGTAATAACCTGTCCGAGCAGGATTTTATAAACTAGATTAGTTATCTGCTATATAACCCGTTCTTAAATAGGCAAATTACGCTCCCGCCTTTTATTCCATATACCTAGTTAATTACGGACCTAATTAATTACGTCTACCCGCAAGAATAACTCTTACGGGCCCCGTATAACTACCGGGCCTTTAGCGAACGGGTAATCCTATTAACCCTGAATAATACGGTCTATAAGCTTAATCAAATAATCCTGGATATACTTCCTGGCCAGGAACGGACATATTTTATAGTAGATTCGGCTAATATAAACGAGGCGGATCCTGAAATTACAGAATTACCTCTAGAGGTCTTATAAAGCATCTATTTACTAGGTCTATCCCTTTCCAAGCTATAACTCAAGATTAGTATACCTATAATACTCTTGCGGAATCTCTATCTGCAAGAAGGGCTTTATAACGGGTTACGGATATTAATTTATAGCTTTGGAAGGTTCTCGATTTGCATACGGCTACTAGGTAGCGACTTTAATAGCCAATTACGGACGATTCTACGGATTAAGCTCTAGTTAACGGATTAGTAACTGTCTTTTATACTTTCTTATAAGCAGTTTCTACTTGTTTTATCCTTTATAATAACTATTAATAAATCGCAGGGCCAGTTATTTGAGGCAGTAGGAGTGGATTTACGGTCGCTGGTCTTTTCTTATAGCTAGTTCTATATAGCAGCCTTACGGGTAACCTTATAAGCAGGGCTTTGTATTCTTTTACTCCCTAATATAAACCGTATAAGTAATATAGTATACCCAGAAATATTACAGGGTCTTACTTAGCTTTTGACTTACTTACGGGCTATTCTCCTTCTTATACTATCCGTAAAGGCCTTTACCAAGTCACATACCCCCTTTAATTCTAACCCTACTCGGGACGAGTTTAGGGCAAAATTATTAATTGGCCCCGGAGCTTGTATAGGGCCGCCAATTAATAATTTTAGCGAAGCGGCCCTAAACTCGTAAGACTATTATCTAATTAAGAGAAATAAGGAGAAGGAAACGTATTTAGAGATTACCTAAAGAAGTATATAATAAGTATTATATATAAAGAAAATAGAAAGGGTTTTCTAAGTTTATATTTTAGGGATCTTTCTCTTATAATAAAAAGAGGCCTTATTATATATAAGAAAAGGAAACTCTATAAGAGAAGAGAGATTATAAAGCTAATCTTAATATAAGGAATTTATTAGTTAAGAAGGCTAATAAATAAAAGCGGGAAAAGAAGTAAAGGAAATAGCTCAGGGATTAGAAAAAGGCCTATAGGAGGGCCTCTAGAGAAGTACGAAAAGTATGGAAGTATAATAAGAAAACTAGTACTTTTATTATAAAAAATAAATAAGAAGAGATTAATTAGTATTAATACTAAAAGAGGATTTTAATTAAGAAGCTCTTGCCTTTTATAAAGAAATACTAAAAGGATTATCCTAATACTATTATATAAGAGGATAATATAGGACCTTATAAGTTATATTACTAGGGGGAGATTTATAATTTATAGAAGATTATGAAATTACTTTGGCCAGAGAACTTATCTGATTTTAATATAATTAAAAAAGCCTGGTTTTGGATAAAAAAGAAGATTACTAAGCGGGGACCTACTAGTAATAGAAAGAAGCTAAGAGTGAGGTGGGAGAAGTGCTAGAAAGACCTTCCCCAGAGCAAGATTCAAGAGTGGATTATAGTAATTCCTGATTATGTAAAGGAGATAATATAATTAGAAGGGGGGAATAAGTATAAAGAAGGTAGGAACAAGGGCCAAGAGAAAGTAATTATATATTAGATAGATAGAATTGAACTAATCAAAAAATAATTGAAATCGGAGGTTTAGCGAGGTAAGCCAAATTTCAGGGGACCCTTATAGGGCTTACAGGGGACTAGGACTAGCTACAGGGAGATTAAAGTAAGACCTTACAGGGCATTTAGTAGCCTTCATAAAATAATGCCCTGTATTCCCGATACTTTATGCCGTAATCTTCATACCCTACCCCCTACAATCCTCAACTTTGAGGGTAATGTATTCGGTACTCAGGGTTTACTTATGAGTTTTTCGCCTTTCTCCAGTTCTGGTATCTGGATTTAGCAAAACCCCACCCTAATTGAGGTCGTTGGCCGGAGTGCATTCGTCAGCACATTCCCCATCTCAGGTATTTCCCCTCTTCGTCGCCCTCTTCGCCCTTTTCCAATCTTCCCCTCGGCCTGTACTGGAGACTGCAATTTTCTCGTCTCCTCGGAACCGTTTCCTACTCCAGTCCGTAGACATTCCTTAGGTTTTGCGGCTGTTGTAGGAAAAGCTGGTGCGGCAATTGGAACGACAGTTCTAACACAAGCACTGAACTCCTTCGAAGACCGGTCAAAAGATAACAAACGTTGTGATTGATTGTAAGTAGTGACTCGGTCATTGGGCTCTGCCTCGTCTGGCTCTCAATGCCTCGAAAGCTTCGACATGGGAGTATCCTCTTTCGCATGAATTTACAGATAAATTTCTTGCACAGTTTATCGACTAGATATTGCTTACTTTTGCTGTTCGGGGGTTCCGATTATGGCAGAGCCGATGTGGAAGATCCGGATTGCCGAAACGGGGGGCCGTCCCCCCCACCTGCCATCCTGCAAACCCCACGTCAGACCCGAAGCCAGAAAAATCGAGTCGATAAAGACTCTTGAGATCCGACCCCTCAGTGGACGCAGGACTGCCCGGCTTACCGCCACTGCAACCACCCCCGCACACGGTTCAGCAGCGGCGGTGGTCTCCTTCCGGGTAAATGATCAGTGCATAAATAAACCCATAAGAGCGGGGTTTCTTTTACGTACGGGGCAGCGGATGAGGTCCCTATTCGATGCTCTATGATCCCCGAGCCGAGAGTGCTATCATTCGCCAACTCCGCCAACTCTATTCCAGCAAAATCAACCCCATTGGGCTGCTGCAACGGCTTCCCCCGTCATCCCAAACACGGCACAGGAAGGGCTGACCGCATGTTTCGACCATACCAATTTTCTCCCCTTTGATTTACCCCACTAATCCCTACGATCTCAGCTTCGTAAGCTATCAACCTCACGACAAGAAACCTACCCCATAATTGAACTAGAGACTAGAGGTGGTAAGCAAGCATGGCCCAACCTGAGCAAGGCACGGGGGCTATTGCCCCTGATGAGACTGTAGGTTGTTTTGACGAGAGAAATGCCAGCCTTGCATTCTCATTACTAACTTTCACTAGTTTAACGATGGCGATTCTGCTATTGTACGTCCACAATTTTCAAACTATTTCAAGATGCCTCAAAGCTAATCACTTCTTTAACCTTCAAGGACGAAGAAGTCAACTCTACAACCTCGTCAATCGCCTCTTCGATCTTCAAATTCCGCAAGGAGCATGGGAGGACGTACAATGCCTACGGAGAGCGAAGTATGGATCTTCTGATTGCGCTGTTGCGTTGATGAATGCTTACAAGTCTAAGACTACTTCATGCCCAATGATGAGGTAATAGATGCGCCCCCAAGCCTCATTGCCTTCGCTAATACTTGCCAAGATGGAAAAGGATCGTTATGGTAAAGGTGTACCTCTATACCTCAAATTTCGGAGAAGCTGATAGTCGTTTTTAGATCTTGTACATCACTTGTGGGGACTGACGCTCAGTGGAAGACTGCTCATTTGTCCTGCTGCAAGTGGGGAGCTCCATCGTGTTCTTGACGTAGGGACCGGAACAGGGATTTGGGCTATGGATTTTGGTATGTCATCCACGACGTGAGTGTCTCGACGAGCAAAGGCTAACCCGGCAATAGCGGAAGAGCATCCTGAAGCGGAGGTAAATCATCTCCCACCTAACCATCCTTGACTCTGGGGGATTAACCAAAACTTGGAAAGGTGATTGGTGTCGACGTCAGCCCAATTCAGCCCACCTTGTAAGCCGGACTTTAACATCTCTCCCCTGAAAGCAGTGTTTGACTGTTGTAGTGTTCCACCGAACGTCCAATTTGTGATCGACGATATAGAGAAACCTTGGGCCTACTCTAAGCCCTTCGATCTCATTTTCAGCCGTCAAATGCTCGGCGCAATCCCGGACATGAAAAGCTATGTCCAAAAGTGTTACGAGTAAGTCTAATTTGCGAAATTCGTCTCTCCTATTTATTCCCTCACGACTAACATTCTTCTTAGTAACCTGAAACCTGGCTCTTGGCTAGAGATGCAGGAGCCAAAGCTTCCGGCTCTCTGTGATGACGATACCTATGCTGGTACTCAGTTTGAGAAGTGGCAGAATCTTGCCCTTGAAGCTAGCCGGAAGCTAGGTTGTCCAATGGACATTGCATTGACTTGCAAGGCGACCATGGAGGCGGTTGGATTTGAAGATGTCACCCAGGTCATCTATAAGTGGCCGATCAACAAGTGGCCAGCTGAGAAGAATATGAAGGAAATCGGTAAGTATCGCCTGATGTGCCAGAACCAGGAGACTGATATCAGCAGGCCTCTGGAGCTACGAGAACATTACTTGCAATCTAACTGGTATCAACTTGGTGCTTTTCATCCATGGTCTTGGTTGGAAACAAGAAGAGCTGGAGACTTTCCTCGTGGATGTCAGGAAGGACTTAAAGAATCCCAAGATTCACGCTTACTGGCCAGTGTGAGTTTTATTTGCTCAGCCTGACCGTATTCACGTTCATTCCAACAAGATTCCCTCTGCTATTTTTGTATCACAAGCTAATTGCATCTATTTCTCCAGCTATGTCGTATATGGCAGGAAACCTGCAACTAAGATTCCAGCCGACACTACCGCTGAGGTTACCCCTGCTCCGATAGCTGAGGCCGTCTGAGTAACAGCGCGACACCAGGTCAGCAGTTTAGTCTTAATAGGAAACATCAATACAATGAACGAGACGAAAAGCCATTGTACAAGGCTTAAGATTTTTTCCGCATGGGACCCGAGAGGGGGTAAGTTTTCGAATTTCAAAACACTTTCAAATACTCGAAAGTTGCCACATCTTTCTTTTACTCCAGTAAGCCACGCAAATAAGCATTGCCCGTACGCAATATAGCTCCCTATTAACCCAGTCCAACCACTGATAAGGGCCATTCGATGTGAGGATGCCATTTCTTGCTTAAGTCTCGTCGACACTGGTCCAAAAGTCTGGCAGCACACCCCTTCATGAACCAGAACGAGTCGATCATCTTGAGCATAATACAATAATGAGCCAATACTACTAAGGCTTCTGGTTTCCTCTCGCTCATCAACTCAATATACCTTTGAGAGATCTGCGCAGGCCAGGACAAGACAAGAGTCTTTACAGCAATTGTTTGGTCTGGTGTCGCTGCCATGGCGAGAAGTTTCCGGAGGACATTGAGAGCCTCACAGCACGCCTCCCCGTCTTCATCTCTACCTGCTTGCAAAACTGGCAGTAGTCGAGCAAACAATCCATCGTCAGCATTTAAATTTAAGTCGGGTGTTTCGTCCAGCGGCTTCTCCATCGAAGCCCCCAAAGGGCCAGCTAAAAGCCAGTCTAGGCAATGGTCGGCTACTTGAAAGGCACCTCTGACGAGGGGGAGGAATTCGGATACTTCTCCCATTCCCGGTGAAAAGACTTGGGCTTCTGAAGACCGCGGACTCGCAAATGCGTACTTGGTCACAAGATGACCGCATGCATAGACGGCGTGGCAGTTTTCTTCATTGATTGACTCGAGTTCCGAGCGAATGAGGGGAAGAGCAAGACTTTGATGGTGAGTTGCCAAGAGCATATAGGAATCGCTTTCTTGTGGCCGAAGTCTCGTAAGGTGAAGCGCTGTAATCGCTATTATGGCATGCCTAGGTGTTTACGTTAGACTTGCAAATGCGAAACTGTGGATGTTTTTCGCACAATAGACAGCTGTGATCGATGGCAAGCCGAGGTAAAACATCCCGCATTGCCACCTGCAGACCCTCATTGTCTGCTAGCGATTCAGCTGTTGACATGGTCCAGTGATGTAGGAGCTTGAAGTCCAAGAAAGAAAACTCGGGGTGGCCAGACGGGGCAGGTGAAGCAGTTGGCTTCGGCAGTAGCTGAGAAGTGGTAGGCACAACTTTCAAACCACCTTCGGACACGATCTTGAAACTGCATTCGGACGGATATCGAACACAATTGAGGCATCTTGGTTTTCTTTCGTCACACTACTAAAATGTCAGCTGACACAAAGCGAAGTAAGAGCAGCGGAATGACGTCGCGGCTAACCCGTACCTTTACACGGCGTCTTTTGCATTGGATGCATCCTGTTCTAACTTTCCGATGCGATGCCTTCTTATATGGCATGTTGGGCTGCCGCATAGCACAAGCTGCTCGGAGCATAATCGATGGAACGAAGTGCGAGGTGCGAGGAACGAGGTTATGGACCAACTCATCTCAGCTTACTCACCACCTTACGTCCTTGGTGCATATTTCCCTGTTCACTGGTCAGCATATGTGGAAGCTGACTTGCATACCATCGCATCCAATTTCAACTAGCGCGGTGAGTCAAATGATTTGATTTGACTTGATTTAAATTGATTTGAGCCTCTTAATTAAATTAAGTTAAGCTATATAGTCCATAATCAAATCATACTTAATTATAATCAAATATAATTAAGTGTATTTAATTAGATTACCACGTGATTACACATGTTACTCTATAGACTGAGATACGGAGATAAGACTAAAATAAGGCTAGCCATATTTAGACTCGCTTAAAGCTATTCTTACCGAATCTAGCCTAGTATTGCTTAGTAAGCTAAGACAGCAAATGTTTTAGTATCATTATATGTACTAAGCAATCACGTGTTTCTTACATATAATGTGCCAGGCTATATCAGGTATCCTCACTTGCCGTGCGCACCTATATCTACTTCTCTCCTTAAATCATAATTAATTATTATTAATTGTACATAATTCTAATTAATTAGCTTTGATTATTTTTTGACACACTGCTCAAATCGACCTCGTCACACGCCTCTAACAAGCCTACCCAACCCATTTCTCCGAACCACCAAATAGCATCACAGCACTCACATACTTCAATCTGGGCCAAAAGCTAGCGCGACCGTCTCTGGGACAACTAGAGATTGCTCGGTTTTCTGATGTTTCAATTCTCTTCGAAGACCGCGAACTTACTGATCCCGAATGGGCGTTTGTAAAAGAGCGATGAAACATCGACGTCTCTCATATCTTCAGTGAATCTTTCTTACTTACCAGGAACCACTTGACACTTCTTTCAATCCCCACCTGCATACTGATAGCAGGCCTGTATCCCAGTCTCCTCTTCGCCTTCTCACAACTTATAGTCCTGGTAAAACAACTATACCTTACCCCATACCTCGTCAGACCCGGCTCCTTCCCTCCGCTAACGATCCAAACACTCCACTCTGCAAGGAAGGCCATTGACATCCCCACCCACCTCGGAACAACTTTGATATCTCCTTTCTTCACCTCATACCCGGCCTGCTTCGCAACCTCCCTCGTGAAATCCCAGAAAAGCCAAGGCTCGTCATTCGTGAGGTGGAATGCTTCCCCATCCACTCTTTGCTCCTCTGCCGGTGGTTGATTCACAGCTCGAAGTAAAGCCTTTGCAGCAAGTAGATGTGCATCGGCTACATTTTCCACATACACAAAATCGTACAGATTGGTTCCATCTCCCATCTGGATATTCCCTCTCCCACTTCTCGCCACACCAATCAACTTCTCAATCATTTCCTCATTGGCTTCGCCAAAGCAGCTCGCTGGGCGGAGTGAAACGGTCACCATGCCATGTTTTCGGTTCGCACTAAGGACTGCTTGCTCGGCAAGAGCTTTGGAGAGCGGGTACGGAAACTTTTGCTCTGGGGCGACAAGAACGGGAAGTTCTTCCGTAGCGTTTATGACTGGGGATGACCCGTCTTCAATGACTGATGTGCTAGAATGGAAAACGAGCGCTTTCACTGTTCCCACGGACTGGGTTGCTTCAAGGACGTTGAGAGTTCCGTGGAGGTTGATTCTGGTGTGTGTTTCGGCTGGTAGCGAGAGGGAGTAGGTGCAGGCTGCGTGGAAGATGACCTGGGGCTGGATTTGCTTGATCGCGGCGAGGACGGACGGCTTGTCACAGATGTCAATGTCGTGATACTGGACTGAAGGGAACCGTGGGAGAGAGGTAGGGAGGTCGAGGACGGATATTTTGCACGTAGGGTTTGTTTGCACGATCTTGGAGACGATGTGATAGCCGATGAAGCTATCGCCTCCAGTGACGAGAACGTTGTTTAGGTTCTCTTTGGCCATGATTGTGACTCCGGCACTAAATCATACAAAGAAGGGGAAGTAGGACGCAGACCACACACATAGGGTTGCGGGAATTATGGGTTCCTCAAAATTAGCGGCGTTTTTGTCTTCCGAATCGAGGTTTAGTGCTGACTGCAACCCTGGAGGACTCTCTCGGTACCTTGGAATGGTCGAAAATAAGGTGCATTAGCATCATCCAACAAGTTCTGCATCTAGCAGGCCTCATCTCTATATTCTGGCCACCTTAGAGCACTGAATTATACTATGATCATGTCTTGCCCAACTTCCTCCAGCCCATTTGCTCCCTTTCCTTCATCGAACAACCCCAACCCATCCATTTCATTCAGCGTATACTCGACCAAGTAACTCTCATCGATCAGCTCCTCCAACCTCTTATAATTCTTATCGGTATACACTTTCAACGCATCCAAAACCTCCTTCAGGCTATTTTGGTCTTGTGCCCCGCGAACCTTCAAACTCGATAATTTTGTTGCTGGATAACTCCTCACAAGAGCCCATAGAATCCTCTGTGCGACGACCGAGGTTCGATTATTGGTATTCCAATCTCGGACTCGCAAGAGGAGAAGAAAGATCTGGTCATCAGACAGTGACGCGAGAACTTCGTCAACGGCTTTGACCCCACAGAGACTGCCTTCTTCTGTAGGGCTGACATTCACCACAGAGGTGAAAAGCGAAAGCAGCCTAGCAGGATGGTTCAACTGCAATGAGAGGGTGATGGCTTGGCGGTATGATTTGGTATGGACGTAGTTCTGGAGCTCCTGCTCTTGCTCAACGAATTCGGTTGCAGCAGCAGTCGTTGCAGCTTGTGTAGCAATCGTCGTGTCTTTCCAAAACGTGACGGTCGAGTCCCCCGAGCCTGAAACTATCATGTTGGTAACAGGGTGGACTGCAAGAGCCCAGACCCGATCCTCGTGGTTGTCCAATGTACAAGCCTCATCGCCTGTATTTGCATTCCATATTTTAACCAAGCCATCACCTCCAGCACTTGCGACTTGAATGTGTTTCTTGCCACTATCAGTGTTGGGAATATTGAGCCAGGCTACTTTCAACACACTGTTCGTATGACCCTCGAAGGTTCGTAAACAGCTGTAATCGGACAAACTCCAGATCTTGACCGTTTTGTCGCCGCTACCGGTGAGAATGAGCCCTTTCCCTGCTGCAGGTCCACTGTCTCCAATGATGCTAGGTGTCTCTTTTGGCGCAAATTTGACCGACCAAACTCCACGCTTGTGTCCCTTGAGAACACCTTGCACCTCTCCTTCTTCAGCTGACCAGATTTTGACTGTTTTGTCTTGGGAAGCGGATGCAAAGAGTTGCCCGCTGTGATTGATGTCGATGGAATTGATATCTTTTTCGTGGGCTTTCTTCGTATAAAGAGCCCTCGGAGCTTTGTGACTTGATGTTAGTGCGTCAAGTTTGGGGATATCCCATCGTTTGACGGTCTGGTCTTGAGAACCGGTCAGGACAAATGCAGGTGGATGCTGGAGTGGATTCGTGTACGCCGGCGATGACTCGGGAGGTTGGGTACGTTGGAGAGAAATTGCTCCAACCGACTCGGCGTGACCAGCAAAGGTTGCAATGCATCTGAAGGAAGAATTTGCAGTATCAACCCTCCATAATCGAGCAGTGTTGTCCTTGGCACCAGTAGCAATCCAGTGGCCAGACCAATCGACATCTAAACAAATGATGATATCCTCGTGTCCCTTCAATTGCGCAACGTCTGCGCCAAAATAATCTGTATGCTGCGAGGAATCGTCGGACTGAGAAAGGGAAATGATTCTGATCTCCTCCGAATTTGTCGCGAGTGCCAAGAGAGATCTGTCAGGCAACAAGTATTCGAGGTCAATGATTTCATCGTGGGTGCCAGATATTCGTCGGATCTGGTCCAAGGGCTTGATTGTTTCCATAGAACCAAGATCTTTTAACGACGTCTTCGAGTGAAGGGTGATCGTGTGGTCTGCTTGCACAGATAGAATGAACGAGAGTTCTCCTAATGAAATTGCACTGACGACTCCATCTGCTTCGCCCTTTGCAGACTGGGGTAGCGTGACTTCTCGCCCATTATCGGATTCCCATATGCGAATGTTTCCATTCGCACCTCCCGTGTATGTCAATCTCCCGGACTCGAGGAATCCGGCAGCCTCCACCTCTTCAAGAACCGGTACGACGTTCCTGACCTTCCAAGTCCTTGAATCCCACCACATGATAGTCTTGTCTCGACTGGCTGTCAGAAGAGCATTTTCCTTCGAAGAATAGTCCAATGCTGTGACGTCTGAGACATGAGAGTCTAAAGTTGAGGCGCACGTCCGCTTGTACAGATCCCAAATCCTCACCTTTCCATCCCGACTACCTGAAGCTAGTCTGAAGCTTCTCGCTGCCTCGTTCGGTTCAGCCTCTGTAGATGTGCTGCTTTCCCGTTGTTCCTTTCTTCGATTCCGGGCCGAGATCCCAGATACCTTATCTCTGTTGCTTGCAACAAGTTCGAAGAAATGTAATGCAGAAATCAGCACATTGGGCCCCCGAAAGGTATGCGTTATGTATCCTCCTCGTATGTCCCAGACCTTGACCACGCCATCTGCTGCACCTGTTGCCAAGAGTGTGCTTGTTTGGTCGACAGCCAATATAACCACGGGAGTTGTGTGGGGTTTGAGAGTTCGGACAAGTTCGAAGTTGATCGCGTCTACGGAGATTGGGGAGGGCTTCAGGGCATAGACTCGCATTGACAATGATCTCGAACTTATTATGAGGTGGGAAGCAGATGGTGTTACTGTGAGGAAAGTCAGTTATGACGCCGAGGATCTGCAGAGGGTAGCACCGACGGGTTAAGGCCGAAATCAGCTCTCCATCCTGATAAGGATGTCAGCGAATACCCCGAGTACCATCTCACATTCACGCGATGAGATACATACCCCATCGATTCTAGCTAGCTGCCTTCCCGTATCGAGATCCGTCAACAAGGCATCTTCCCCAAGAGTGGTCGCAAGAATGCGCCCGCTGTGATCGAGGGCAACGCTGCCGCCGGTGTAAATTGGCCGGATCGTATGCTCTGGCTCAAAGGTAGTCTTGTATGGAGCTTTGTTTGCCATGGTGTTGCGCTGGAACCAGGCGTTGAAGCTGCAGGAGGAGGCTGGAGATGTTGTTGGAGTCTGGAGGGGGAAAAAGATTTTGCTGTTGACAGGGGCGCTCGATAAGCTTAATCTTAGCGCCATATCGGGCTCTCCATCACCGTCCTCCGTGTCAAACTCCAACATTCCACCTTCAACCTCCAACCTCCAACATCTCCTGTTTCTTCTTCTTCAACGCCATCAACGACGCCTCTAGCTTTATAGGTCGACTTGCAACATCCTCCAGACATAGGCGGAGCTGTCTGGTGTAGTCCGACCCTGATGCAAGGAAGAACATGAATGCAAGCTCGGAAAGCAGGGCAAAACAGAGTCCAAGATGGGAAGACTTGAATCCTTGACGGCATTGGCTTTGGTGAGTGACTCGCAAGTCCTTTGGCTGGCGTTCGTTGCTTCATTGCGACATTTTTGGGAGCGCCACGGTGCAGAAGTCGACAACACGCCTCCTATCCATCGCTCCAAGCCGCTCAGACTCAGGCTGACACAAGCCAGGGCCGCGGGCATTACGAAGAAGGGGTCATTGTGAACCCGGAAGCAGAAGCCTCCAGCAGCCCAAACCCGCAGCAGTACAATGATCGTGGATACCCCAGAAATCCAGAGACCAAACGACAAGAACGAGAGCACGTGCGAGCAGCAAACGAAGTGATGCAAGTCACAGGCGTCGTCGAGGACTCCTTGGCTGCCAAGGTTAAGGCAAGCCAATTCATACAAGACAAAAATCTAGAGACCTTGACCGGATTGAGAATGATGGAAGCTGGCCGTGCTGTCTTGGTGGGAGGGGTATGGGGCGTGTTAGGACTTCGAAGACGAATCTTGGTACGCTTCCCAGCGGGCCCTCTTGACAAATGTTGACGTCTCCTAGCTCTACAGGCCGTATTCTACGGTTAGCGTTTTGGGAATCGTCCGGCATGAAGCATCGTCTTATTCAGTTCCCCACCTCTTCTTCTCAGGCTTGCCCACCGTTTTTGCATATCACGTCTGCGATTGGGTGGCATTCGTTACTGAGACTATTCTTGAGGGTCAATTTCAGGAAGACGAGAATGCCTTGTCTGAGCAGCAGCTTCGGAACAGCCAGCTCATCCAAACTGGGTAAGTTTTGGAACCTGTACACCATGTCACTGCTAACCCAGAAGGCTCGATATCGGTTTCTGCTATATCGCCCTACATTTCAGGATGTTTGCAATCCTCCAGCAACTGAACCTCATTTCATCTTCCAAACTTTTTCCAAGCTTCCGATCGTTCATCCCGTTTTCGCATGCGTCTCCTCTCCAATTTCCGCCTAGCCCATCACTCAGCCTCTCGTCTCTCGCATTCTGGGGTGCATCTCTCCTTCGGACTGCGGCACCGATGCTCATCATCTTGGCCCATGGCAAATTCAAGTACATGGTGGCTCGAATAATGTACCGTCCCATCTACAGAATACTTCCCCGGCCCATGGGAGACAGCATGTTCTCGGGTCTTAATATTGCGGCCCCGTCAATGGAATATGATACCCCAGATCGGCCCAGAGATGACAGGAGCAGATACCGCTCTGAGGATGAGCCAACACTGCGGGCTCTTGAAGGTCTACCGGCACTTGATCGAACAGAGACACGCGCACGTGTAAATGAACGAGATCAGGAGTCGAGTGAGGAAGAAGAAGAGGAATTGACGCAAGCAACACTCATCAGCTTTGATGTTGAGGCCACAGATGTTGCCGAGTCTTCACTGGGCACGTGGTCAGCAGAATTGCGGAGCGCCAATGAACCAAAGCCCTCACAGGGCCTCAAATACCGCGTAACAGGACTGACGGTGCTCCCTCCAATCATGGCCACTGAGGGTCTTCGAGAAATAGCAGCGGGAATCATTGTCATGCCACTCGAGGCGTTTATGGTACGAGTTATTGGCAGAGCATACCGAGCGAGCGCGGGCTTAGAGATGGAAGATATGTTCATCTGGGGAGTTCCGTCCGTGTGGAACCTAATTACTGCGTTGACTGTTCAATTGGCCGTTACGGGGATTATATGGGCCGGGTTTACAGCTGGGACCCAGCGGTTGGCTGCTTTGTGGGGGGCAAGAGGGACCGAAAGCCCAACAAAGGAAACTTCTCTAACCTGATTGCTCCAGTGGTACACTTTTCACCATAATCGAACTTCTGATAACCGAAATGGGATCCCCTTTGGGGTCTGGGGAAATTCCTGGAGAAATGGAGGGCTGGACAGCCAGGGGACTCTGCATGGACGTATGGCAGATTGCTCGATGCCGTCCGGGACTTGGAGCCTGGAGTCATATCTTTACCAGTATTACACGAGTAGTCGGCCTCTGCCCACAATTGAGCTATCAAGGAGGAAATGCCATTTGCCGAAGCCACAACCTGCGCCACGACTCAGTGGAAGACACGAAGAAAAGTCTTAGTGAAGCTTGATTCGCGTCGAGCGCCGGCCCATCCCGTTCCTTGGCGGAAGCTTGCCCATTCACGGCCTTGATTTGCAGCTCTCGTGGCACCAAACTTCGGGGCGAGGCGGGAGCCACCCGAGCACAAATATTTGGGATTGGAATCAAGATCCTTTCACTCGGCCCCTTTGTGGATTGCTGTTTGCCCGAGAAATCCGACGACTGAACATGGGGCTTAAACCAGGATATTAGCACGAGATTTTGTGCGTCAACAAATCACAGTTCTCCATTTGTCCTTCCTTCAGACGCCGAACCCGCGCCGTGAGTGACGTCAATGCATCGACACATCCCAACATCTGCCGGAGTTCTCCCAGCCCTCCAACCTCATTTTCCCACTGAGACCGAACTCTCCAGCACAATACTGAGGCTGGGAATGCGAATGATTGCAAATGATGGCAAATAAAGAGGCCTCCAGAGGATTGAAATCAAATGCTGGCGTGGAATCGTACGGCCCCCCCGCCATCGAGCCCACGAAACATGGCGATGAGCATGTCAGACAAGTTCATATCGCCCTCCCCACAGCAATAGTATCCGACAACCCGCTATCTAACGCTAGTCAGCGTAGTTGAATCGCCGATCATGAGATCTCCAAATATTTTTCCTTTGAGGTATATATCCGTGAGGACTCCCTGCTATGCTGCTAGCCCCGTGAATATTATCCCTTGAGCTTTCGTAACAGCTGCGTGCTCTACGTACCTTTCTGTAACCTCCTTTCTACTTGATTTCCACTCGTCTCTCCTTATCTCCATACCATGGCAGACCTCAAGAGCTCAAGTAGCGATATTATCAGTTCCGCTAGTCACAGCGAATCCGGAATGCCCATGAAGGAAGTCAACGAGAAAGATATTGCTTTCACCCAGGGCCACCAGCAACCTAAGCCAAAGCTAGGTCTCAGGCGTCAAGTTTCGGAATGGGAAGCTCTCCAGATTGTTGCTGCTAGTGATATTGAGACAATCGACAGGGAAGTAGACGAGATCGAAGCAGACCTGCAGGAAATGAACATTCAGTCAACTTGGTTCAAACCACAATTGAGATTGAAGGATCCAAGATATTTCACATGGCTCCTTGTCGGTATGGTTTCCCCCGTGCGTGCATTGTAATACAGTCTTGTTCTGTGACCGCCGGTAGGTTTTGCATCGATGGGAGGACTTCTCTCTGGTGTCGATCAATCCTTGATCAGCGGTGCAAACCTGTATATGCCTAGCTGTAAGTCAGCATCTACCGCTGTCTGCAACATCAACTAACTGAATTGTAGCTTTACATCTCAATACGAAGCAAGTTAGTCTAGTCAGTTCTGGTGTCCCATTGGGGGCGGTTGGCGGTGCCTTGATGCTGGGACCTTTGAATGAAGCTGTTGGTCGACGGATGGCCATCATCGTGTCGCTGGTTTTATACACGGTCGGAGCTGCTCTCGAAGTAGGAGCAATTAACTTCGGCATGATGGTTGCTGGCCGTATCATACTTGGTCTGGGCGTCGGTTTGGAGGGCGGAACGGTTCCCGTCTACGTCGCTGAATCCGTCTCGCGGAAATCCCGTGGAAACCTCGTCTCTCTTTATCAGTTCATGATCGCCCTTGGAGAGGTTCTTGGCTATGTCATTGCAGCCATTTTCGTCAATGTCAAGTCGGGGAGCTGGAGATATATGCTTGGTTCTTCGTTGCTCTTTTCTACCGTCATGTTCGTCGGCATCTTCTTTATGCCCGAGTCTCCCCGATTTCTCATGCATAAGGGAAGGACGACTAAAGCATGGCATGTGTGGAAGCAGATCCGTGGCGAGGAGCCCGAAGCTAGAAAGGAATTCTTCGTCATGAAGCACTCCGTCGCGGAAGAGTTGGCGGTACAGCAGCAGGGCAAGGCTACAAAGCGCTTCGTGTGGATGGACTTCTTCACTGTTCCCAGAGCCCGCAGAGCCATCATTTATGCGAACGTGATGGTTTTTCTTGGGCAGTTCACTGGTATCAACGCCTGTTGAATATCTTAGATACTATCTATCTAACTATCTAGAGGGAAGAGAGTGGCTCTCTATATAGGTAAGAGTTTTTTATCCCTATAGAATAAAGAGTCCTAATCCGGCATATCTTAATATACCGGATCCAGTAGTCCCTTTATTCTATATGTATAAAGGACTTGCCGGATGCGGTGAGGTGTGAAGAGTCTCTTTATCCAACAACGCCATTCAGTATTATATGGCGACACTTATGCAACAGGTCGGATTCGACGACAAGCAGTCGGTTTTCATGTCCCTTGTCGGCAGTGGATCGCTGCTGCTCGGCACCATACCAGCCATTCTCTACATGGAAAAGTTCGGTCGCCGATTCTGGGCTTGTTCAGTGCTTCCAGGGTTCTTCGTCGGCCTTGTGATTATCGGATGCAGCTACCTCATTCCCTTGTCGAATAAGGCCGGTTCTCAAGGAACATACATCGCTGGCTTGATCGTCTACGAAGGGTTCTTTGGAAGCTACTCGTGTTTAACATGGGTCATCCCTTCTGAAGTTTATCCCACCTATCTCCGATCATACGGAATGGAGACCTCCGACACCACGCTCTTCTTCTGTTCCTCCCTCGTCACTTACTTCTTTGCCCAGATGCAAGACGCAATGTCACAAATCGGCCTCACTCTTGGTTTCTACGGTGGAATCGCAGTACTCGGTTGGTTTTACCAGATCCTATTCATGCCTGAGACGAAGAATAAGACGTTGGAGGAGATTGATATCATTTTCAGCCAGCCGACCAGTCAACTAGTCAAAGAGAATCTGCGCAGTGCAATGGTGACAGCGAATGATTTTGTTTGCTTCAGGTGGGGAAAGGTATTCTCTCCCGTCTCTGAGAGTGATATTTTCAGGAAGGAGAATGGCCACAAGACTGAAGGTGAGCCGCAGGCTAATCACGAGGAGTTGCTGAAACCAGAGTCGGAGTAAGCGGTGATATCTATTGCAAATCCTAGCTTCTGGGGAGGGTAATTGATACCATCTTTCATGATAATGCACTTACTATTAAAGATTACCACCAGCAGAGCGGGTAGCAATAACGAGAATTAATTCTGCTTCTAGAAAGTGTTTACGATGGCGGAGCTTCCCATCTTGGCAAAACAATTCTCGTATGGCTGATGATTCGTGCTGAGTTTCTCGTTGAAGCCCCTGATAGTGCCTATCACGGGGCGCTTGGGTTTGGCAGCGCCTGTGGTGCACCACAGACATGCGGGATTACTTCGTTAGTCAGCTCATCCCCTTACGGGGCCAGCTCCTTACGTACCGTCCCCGCCCCTTAAGGGCACCTCCCTGGCTAATAAGGAACTGCGTAAGGAACCGCACCAAAATCCTACACCAATTATTTGGGCTCATAATCTGCCCCAATTATTGGGGCCTATAATCTGCCCCAGCAAGTCAGGTCAGCAATCGTAAATATCGCAATAGCGGAAGTGGAAACCAAGACCTTGCTTCTGGTGCTTGATTCTCTTGGGTCACAACTTTGACGCCTGCGCCGTGTCAACCAACGCTGCCCACTTCCCCTTTATTGGGACTCTGGAATGGGCGTCCGCACCAGCCCGATCAGCACCAGGACCCACGTGACTGATACAGTATACCTAAATTAGCTTGACACAACCTGACTCACTACTATTCTCATTGGCTCACTTGTCTTGCTAACCCAAGCTCGAGGCGTCTAATAGTAACAGTGACAGGTTCGGATAAATTTGTACCCCAAAAAGCCTCGAGTCAGTTTGTACATGTCAGTCTGTACAAGTCAGGTTATACGTGTCAGTCATCAACATCACAAGACAAATTTTAAATTTTAACAAGGACCGAATTCCAATTTCATTTGTGCAATTACAGATTATATCTCCAATTGTTTTCTCATTTCTTCCTCAAAGATAATCTTCAAAGAGGTCACCATGACCGAGAAAGCGACCCCTAATGCCGTACAGGGCGTCACCACAGACGTGAATCTGGAAAAAGGAGACATTGCCCCTGCCTCAATCCACAGCAACAGACATGGCGATGCCACTAAGTTGAACCTCGATGCTTACAAAAGTGATGACTCTGATGGGAAAATTAACTGGACGATTACTCACCGACTTGCTGCTTTCTCACTATGTCTTCTCTACGTGGGTGAGATTTGCCTCCTTCCTGCTTCATTACCCTACCTTCTGCTGACAAAAAAAAATCCAGGATCCCAAATCCCACTCTATTTCATTGGCGCCTCTCTCAGCTTCGTAACAGAAGATATAGGCGGAACAGACAAAGCAGCCTGGCTACCAGTTGCGAATACTCTCGCTCTTGGGGCTACTGCACCATTCGTAGGATACATGCAAGATTTAATAGGGAGGAGATATATTGCTTTGTTAGGATGTCTTCTTCTCATTGTTGGAGTCGTGATCTTTGGTACCGCCCATGAGTTCGGTCAGGCGGTTACAGGGATGGCGATATCTGGGAAGGGGGGTGGTATTGGCGAGTAAGTACTTCCTAAATTAGAATCTGTGGTCCGTGGTTTCAATTGAAAATGCTTTCCATCTAAGCAATTACTGATCTTATATTTGAATAGGCTTACTGCTCTTGCGGGGTGAGTGATGTGATAGCTTTTGGAAGCTATATAATGCTGATGTTATCATCTAGCATTTCCGAGATCGTGCCAGTGAACAAACGTGGAACATATCTGGCTATTGCTACGGGGTGTATCATACCATTTTCAGGCTACATCTTGTATGCACAGTACTGGTCATTCTATGCAACTTGGAGATGGGGAATGTGGATTACTGCGTAAGTTATCTTTCTAACTTCCTTCGGCCGAATTTTGGTCGTCTGCTGACTGCCTCTAGAATTATCAACGGCGTGGCATTTGCTGGCACATTGCTCTTCTACTTTCCCAACAACCACCACCATGATCTGATTAAGAGCCACATCATTAAGAAAATTGACTTTATGGGGGCCGTTCTATCTATCGTTGGATTAACATTATTGTAAATGTCCAACGCTCTCTTCTACTACAAAACGAACTTACAATGTGAATAGCTTGGTAGCGATTTATTGAAAAATAATTGATTTATTAATGGAAAATCGATATATTGGAGGTTGATAATCTGCAAAAATGACTAGATATAGGAGAGTGAGTTCTGGAAACAGAGGAAAAGTGTCCAAAGTAAGGGATTTATTCCCATTACCCTTCGGCGATACCGGTGATGCCGAACCCGCTTTCTCCGATACATTATCAATCAGCTGATAAACCAAAGGTAATCAAAATGACGATATACTAGTAAGCTTGGTAAGCTCGGCGAGTGACGCATGACAAATGAGAGTGGAGAACCCTAAATTAGTGGTTGAACCTGGTACTGGAAGGACTGGTAAGCTAGCTATGGTAGCGTACCAATTTCAACACGATTCAGTGCGGAGGCTATACCCATTCGTGGAAAAGCGCCTATGTTCTCTCAACACTAATCATTGGGTTCCTCCTCATGGTCGCATTTGGTCTCTGGGAATGGAAAGGAGCCAAATACCCTATTGTCCCACACGAGATCTTTGTTGGTCAGCAAACGGTTGGTGTGGCATTGCTAATTGAAATGTTTCAGCTGCCTTTGGAGGTGCCTTGTCCACCATTAGTCCGGATACCCCGGCAAGAGCCGTAGCATTCGGAGCAATCGCGGGCTTCGGTATCGGCGGCGTCCTCGTTCCTGCCGCAACAATAGCTATAACCGTTACCCCCGACGCATTCATCGCCACGACCGTAGCTCTCTCCCTATCTATTCGCGTTATTGGCGGCTCAATCGGCTACTCCATCTACTACAACATCTTTGCCAACAAATTGAAATCCAAACTCCCACCTATCGTCGCCGCAGCAGTCGTCAAAGCAGGCCTTCCTCTAACTTCGGTCTATTCGTTCATTGGGACGCTGGTTACTAATCCAAAGATGTTATCAGAGGTACCGGGGGTGACGCCGGCGGTTATAGAGGCTGCGACAATCGCGACAAGGTGGGCGTATTCCGAAAGTTTAAAGTATGTGTGGTATACAAGTATTACGTTTGGTGTTTTGTCTGTTTTAGGATGTTTATTCTTGGGGCAAGTGAGGCCATATTTGACGCATCGAATTGCTATTGAGCTTATATAATTATAAGCAGGAAAAAGGTTAACTCAAATTAATTGCTATATTTATGGCATTATATTAATGGCCTAGAATATAGTACTTTATAGTTCTTGACTTCTTATAACTTATAGATAAATTCTGGAATCTATTAGTTTATAAGATTATACTATTTAGAAAACACGCCTATTAGTTATATTTTAGAAGCAAGAATAAGGCTACGAAAAAAAAAAAAACAAAATATAGTAATTAGGGTTAGGGTTAGGGTTAGGGTTAGGGTTAGGGTTAGGGTTAGGGTTAGGGTTAGGGTTAGGGTTAGGGTTAGGGTTAGGGTTAGGGTTAGG